CCTTGATATGATATAATACGATACTTGATACATCAATAATGACTATTTCAATTTATAACTCCTGTCAATACTCTTTTAAAAATGTATAAATAGGATACAGTATTTTTATAAAAATATTTATATAGGTACCTAAAATATGTTAAGAATGAAAAGATATTTTATGCAAAAAAATAAAATAATTGTAATGATACATAAAAAGTATTTTTATAAAATTATTATATTGATCAATATGAATTCCATATTAAAGCATTAAAATGCATTTTATCTAATAATATTATCAACCATTGTTGTATATCAAACTATTGATTTTATGTATATATATATATATATGTTCAACAGAAGCAAACATTTATTATTTCTTCACTATAAATTTGGGTGACTCCAGATCAAATTCCGAAATATATTACACGGTGGAAATACGAATATATTGCTTCCATTTCCTAAGGAATGGAACACGTGTGTTTTGAGGGAAGGGGAGTAATGGTTTGCGTATATGCGGTAAAACGACAAATTACTTAGGGTTGGCGTTCGAGTAATGAAATATTCAACAGAAATATTTTTATATCATCTAACGTTTAGGATCCAAAGTAAATATAAATGTCATATCATTATTGGGACTATGACTCAGAAATGGCTCAAACAAAATGACCTGGACCAAATAGTAAAACATATCTTTATACGAGTGTGCTTGATGAGGAATATTTCTTAAAGTGTCTAGGTATTTTAACTGAAGGAATATTCCGGTATACCTAATATTATACTTTTATTGGAGATTTCAGGTAATTGTTTGATCAGTTCATATTAATGAAAACTAATTTAATAGCACCGTCTCTTCTTACAAATTTGAATAAGTTTTTAAAACTTTTATTGTAAAATTAACAATAGTTGGAATTAATTAACTTTGTAAAGCAAAACAAATTTTAAAGATTGTAGGTAGCTTACTGATTTTATGAAACTACAAATATTTGACATCAATAATATTACTTGCAAGTTATTAAGTAAATTTGTAATATGGTATACTAAATAATGAATACAACAATAGGTACCTCTACTTATTGTTTAAAATTGAAAGAATTGTTCCATCGCAATACAATTATATATATGTTAAATTAAAATTATTTATTTTTTTAAATTTATAATAATTCATAAATTAAATACTCACAAGTCGAGTAATGATTTTTTTTAATCTTAATTGAGATGTATTTTCAACACTTAGTTGTATAATATTGTAAAATTGGTAATTATTAAATTAAATTGGCCATTACATAATATATGCATTAGGCTTTACAGTGTACCCCTGATTATGAATTAATTACAATTAAAATAATGCAGTGAAGACGTATTTATTGATAGAAGATATAAGCTTAAGTACATTTAATTCATACAAATTTTTTTATATTCTCACGTATTATACATAAGCAATGACTAATGAGTATGAATTGCGCTGCTATTGTATATTAAATGAAGCCCAATCAGCAATAAACCTAATTGAAAATATAACTATAATTGGATTGTACAAATAGTACTATCTATTTTGCAAAATCTTTGCTTAGTCAAAAAATTCTAATGTGTCTATGCTATACATCATGTATCTTTGAATTGTACTCCAAAATTATTCAAGAAAATTACCATTTATTTATAATTATTGACTTGATGTTTCAGTAAATAGTTATCGAAGCTGGTTAAAAATTTACAATTAAATAACATGAGCTCTCATCTAAAAATAACTACCTTATTAATAAATATTTAAATAAATGGAAGAGAATTTAATATTTAAACGCATTTATATGAATAAATGTGCTGAATGAATTAAAAAATATACAACACTGGTGAAAAATGAAGAGCATGCTTAAAATTACWTATATTTTCTGCTTTAAAAAATTTTATTTTATTTTATAATAAACATATAAAATATAAATGCCAAAAGCTAATAATTAAAATCCTACAATGTGAAGTTATAAATCGAAATTTTGAAACACAAATATTGACATCAACAAACGTGATAATATGCGAATAATATTATTATTTTATGAATTAAACACACTTTAAATACATTTTATTTTAGTATGAGTTAATTTTTTTTTTGCATCTAAATAAAAGTTTTAAATTCATTACTAGAAATTCTTGTTAGTTATTATTTACTTTGTTATATTATAAAGTATAAACGTATAAAAATATGTCTGGCAAGAGAATTGAGAAGTTAATARTAACGGTGTGTTGTATAGGCAAATTAATAGCACGTGATATTATTTTGACTCCAAACTAAAATAATATACAATTCTACCTCGTTTTCAGATCGATAAATCAAATTCTAATGAAGTCGTGCTCAAGTCTTTAGAACTGTCGAGCAGTGGAACTTATAGATGTGAAGTGTCGGCGGAGGCTCCGTCGTTTCAAACCGTATTCCAAGACAGAGATATGATTACAGTTGGTATGTTACAGTGAAATTTGTTATAATTATGCACAATTACAATTATAATTGTATATATTAAACAATCGAATAACTTCTTTTTTCTTTTTGGCTTATTCCGGGCCTTGAAGGTCCATCGCCGCTTCTACAACGCCTCTCCACAACTCTCTTTTCTTCGCCAGTTGTTCTCCCTCTCTAATATCCATAAGCTTGAGGTCTTCTTTGACTCGGTCAGTCCATCGCTGTCTTGGTCTCCCTATCGGTCGTTTTTTATTTGGTTTCTACATTGTGACATCATGCACTGTTTGACCCTCTGCTCTCCAGACATGCCCGGCCCAGCTTATTCGTCTGCTTTTAAGAATTCCCACTATGTTTGGTTCATTGAATATTGCCCTTAGTTCTGCATTAGTTCTTCGTTCATATAAATTTTCCTCGTTTCTTTTGGGCCCATAGATTCTACGCAGTATTTTTCTTTCAAATAGTAGTAATCTTTTCTCGTCCGACTTTGTTGACGCCCATGCTCCACAGGCATACAAGACTATAGGTCTAATGAGTACTTTATATAGTCTTATTTTTGTATTTTTGGAGATTAATCTTGATTTAAACACAGGTACAAGCGCAAAATAGCTCTTATTTCCTGTAGTTATTCKCCTTTTAATTTCTTCATGGCTGTCTGCTTGTTGGTTAACATCTACTCCCAAGTATTTAAAGTTTGATACCCTTTCGAAGGTAAATCCTCCGACTACTAACGAATTTTGTACTTRTTCTCTACGTGACACTATTAGATATTTCGTTTTTTCCTCATTAACTTGTAGTCCARTCTCTTTTCCCTTACTTATCAGTTTTTCTGCCGACCGTTTTAAGTCTTCTTCGGTTTCTCCTATAATTATTATGTCATCAGCATAYGCAGCTAGTGTAATATGATGTCCTTCTCCTATTCTTAGACCCGTGGCATCATCAAGTACTTCTCTCACTACTGACTCTAGGGCTATGTTAAATAATGTAGGGGACAACGCATCTCCCTGTCTAAGACCTATTTCAACTGAGAAATCTTCAGATAGTTCTCCGTTGAACTTAACTTTACACTTGGAATTTTGCACACATGCCTTTATCAATCTCACCAATTTTGTAGTGATTCCGAGTTGTCATTGCTTTCCATAACCTACATCGATTTACGGAATTATATGCCTGTTTGAAATCAACAAATAGTAGGTGCACATCTATGTCAAACTCGTGACTTTTCTCTACTATTTGTTTTATTGTATGAATTTGATCCACTGTAGATTTCCCTGGCATAAAACCTGACTGATATTCTCCTATTATTTCCTTTGTGTATGGTTTAATACGATTTAGTATAATGTTCGATACTACTTTATAACAAGTGTTTAGTAGGGATATTCCTCTGTAATTGAATAACAATAACTATAACTACAAAAACATTTATGAATTKTTTTCGTGTTTCACATGGTAATGCACTGGTAGAAGGTCCGCAGATTGCTGGTCTTCAGCACGAATACAATGTCGGAGACATTGTAAACGCCAACTGTACGTCGACAAAGGTGCAATTTCACGCCCAGCTCATTTGGTACATAAACAAAGAAAAGGTACGTACGAAAGAACGACTGCACAAAATAAACATAGGTATTCATATAATATATATGTATTATTATTATATGCGCGTAATATTCTCTTATGGGRAAGTTATACACAAGGTACCGCGGGATCGAAAAGCTAAAAAATGTAAAGAGGCAGGAGAGAAATGAGTTTGTGAAACGTTGAAAATTATTGTCATGGGAATAATATGTATTTACTCAAAAATAATGCTGTTCGATTTTTATCAGTAAGCAATGAATATTCATTTCGACGTAACCTCTCCATATCATATATTATGTTATCCGCATACGGTTCTATATATACACTCACACGCGTGCACACACACACACACACACACACACATACATAGAGAATATTTAAATAACTTTATTCTGTAAAAACTGTAATACTGTTTTTTTTTTTATTATATACCTTTTTCTTCGAAACTGAAACTTGCAAAAATATTACTTGATAAAATACGCTCTGATAATATATAATATAAGAATTTCACTTTTTTGACAAAAATCTAGTATAAATAAGTAGCGTTTCTGACTCATAAACTAACGACTCAATATAAATATCATATAATGTTGTTCAACACTCTCGATTTCAACAATGCAAAACATCTAAGAGATTTATTATTTACTTTTTAGTTTCTAAGAGAACTGAGAAGTATTGTTTAGAATATAGTAATTTGTTTTCGTATAATATCTAGTATTTAAATATATTGTTTGTTTGTTTCTAGMTTCTGGGTGTTTGAAAATCTAATTACACAAATTATTAATTAATATAATTTACGAATAACAACCATTTCAAATTATGTTTTAATTAAATATTGTTTAGAAATAACTAAATAATGATATTAAATAAATAACTAAATAATAATTTTTTTTTTTAATTTCCATTGTAATTTTCAAATATTCTGAAAATATTATAACACTACATATCATTGGAGATATGTATACTATTTTATTTAAAACAATTATTGTACAAACTATAGTTGAATAGAATAATTATAAATGTAAGATAATTAGTATTTAACTAGGTYATGGTAGATATTCAATTATGAGTTATGACATAAACACATATAGAATACCTTAATTTGTTTTGAAAGTCTGTAGCCTATAAGGGTACAATAATATGAAGTCATGCAAACAGCAACCTACATTTATTTTATCTTGATCCATTTCTAAACTATTATACCTAGTAAATTGTTATTTAAATAACCATTAGGAGGAACTCAATACTTGAAGCATTTATTGAAATAGTATAGTTAACCTTAATAATGATTAGCKTACCTATAAAATGTATTAAATTATTAAATAAATATTGTAAAATATTTTTACAATAGCATGAAGTAAAATTAATGACTTAATAACGGCTGTTTGTAATTTTATCGTAATATTTTGGGAATTTTGTATACGTTTAACACATTATAAAATACCAATGTATTACGTCCAACATAATATGTATTCGTTCATTATTGATGTGTATTCATATAAATATTAACTCAACGTACTAAATACTAAATAACGAAATACTATTAAAAAACAAACGATTTAATTGATGCTATATAATATTTCAATACCTATTTTTTTTAAGTTTATATTTTCAATTATTATTCGTTTATCCTTGAATGGTAAATTGTCGATAAATATCATAAAATTAATTATTAACKTAAACCATGATAATATGGGTACTTTCAACAAATGTATAAACAAAAGCGTCAAAAGCAATTCGATCTAAGATTATTCCTAAATATTTATTATTCGACAGACATCATTTCGGTGTTGTTAAATACTTATTTTTTCACGGAAAACAAAAAATATTATTTCAACTAAAAAGTATAATGAATATGAATAATAATAGCTAGCATAACGTGTTATCTTTCTTCATTGCATTAATAACTCTATTCACTTATATTATTTAACTGTTAGATTCTGAACGAAGTGATGAATGTATTGATT